CAGTAGTGAGGTTGGCCCAGGATCGGACATTTGTTTCGTTCTGCTGTGCATAAGGTCGCTATGAGTCGGTGCTGACTCAATGGCATGTTACAACAACAACAACAAATGGTACCAGAGCTCCTGTTTTTCTAGTACTACTATATTGTTTCTTTTCCTATTTTGCTTGTCTTCTAGCTCTATCTTTTTTCCATGTATCCCTGTATGTTACCAAACCAGTATGTAACGTTCCATCTTTTTCTCCATGCTTATATAAGCAAACATATATATTTATACTCACACAGACACACACACATATACATAGATATAGAAGTTCACATGCACACACATATATGGTTGTTGTTGTTATGTGCCGTGGAGTCAGTTCCGACTCATAGTGACCCTGTACATGGTTTCCGAGGCTGCAAATCTTTACGGGAGCAGAAAGCCTCATCTTTCTCCCATGGAACAGCTGGTAGTTTCGAACTGCCGACCTTGTGGTTCGCAGCCCAATTAGTAACCACGACGCTACCAGAGCTCCTTACACACATATATAGGGTTTTTGAATTCTTTTTCTTATTGTTCACTGTTGATTTATAAAAATGCGTTTTTAGTATATGTGCTTTAATACATCTTGCTTTTCTCATTTAACAATATTTCCTGGGAATTTACTCAAGTCAGTTGGAATAGCTCTCACTCTTCTTAAAGTCTGCAAAAATGATTTCATGATGAACAACTGATTTAGCCATTCCCCTGTTGATGAATATTTACTGTTTCTAGATTTCTGTCAGTATGCTCAGTGCTGAAACCAGTATCATTGTTTATATGTCCTTCCATATTGGTGCTTTCGATGGTCATTTACACATGTGTTGTTGTTATGGGCCGTGGAGTCAGTTCCAACTCATAGTGACCCTGCACAGGGTTTCTGAGGCTGCAAATCTTTACGAGAGCAGAAAGCCTCATGTTTCTCCCGTGGAACAGCTGGTAGTTTCGAACTGCTGACTGTGAGATAAGCAGCCCAATTCGTAACCACTGTGCTACCAGAGCTCCTTATTTACACTTATATATGCATGTATGTTGTTGTTGTGAACTGCCATCCAGTCAGATCCAACCCATAGCGACACTATACAGGGTTTCCGAAGAGCGACTGGTGTGCTTGGACCGCCTACCTTGCAGTTCAAATGGCTTTGCAGTCTGGTGCATTAACCCACAGTGCCACATATCTGTACATTTATTACTGTTCTTAATTGCCATTGGGTTGACCCCTGATTCACGGTGACCTCATGCAAAATGGAATGAAGAATCACTGCTTGAATATGTAGCTTTTATGTATATATGTTAACTTTCACACACATGCATAAATATATGAATGTTTACAGATGTTTTTATATTGATTTACACCCCACCCAATAAAAAGCTCTAACACTTCACATTTCCCTTTTCTATGTGATATATAAGGCTATTCTTTTCTTTTTTTAAAAAAAAATGTTTTATTGTGAATTATGTAATAATTTGCATGGGAGAACATTAGCTTTACATTCATCCTATCGTATATCGTTTCATTGCCTTGGTTACAATCCCCTCCATGCATCATCAACCAACCTAAGGGCATACCCTGCAAGCCTGCCTCATGGTCGTCAGCACACAGCCCCTCTCCTTCTCTGGGTCTAGAGTCCCCAGCTGCTCCATCTCTCCACGTCATCATCTCTGCCTCCATCTCTGGTGTCACTGCTTCTCTGGGTAGGGTCTCGCACTCCACTCTTCTCCCTTGATGGTCCCAGGGACCTCCGCTCCTAGACTGCAAAAGGCTATTCTGTTCTTGATAGCACTACCAGTAATAAGTGTTATGGTTCTTTTTAAAAATTTGACACTCTAATGAGTATATTTTCTTGGCCGTTCAAACCTACCAACTGTTCCTTGGAAGCCTAATACAGGGTTGCTGAGT